CGGCTTTAAGATCCCCTTAAGGTGATCCTAAAGCCGTGATCCTAGCCAGTTTTTTTCGTTTTTTTTCTTAGCACTAATCTTTTAATTGGCTTTATAGAAATGCAAAATTCTTGTCTAAAATTAAAGTACGCATCAAAATCTAGGTCATGGTGGTCGAATTTATATGTGGTGGTCGTCACGTATAATAAAAAATATTAATTTTTTTTCGTTTTCGATATAAATTCGACCACCATGACCTAGATTTTGATGCGTACTTTAATTCTAGACAAGAATTTTGCATTTCTATAAAACCAATTAAAAGATTAGTGCTAAGAAAAAAACCGGCTAGAATCACGGCTTTAGGATCACCTTAAACGCTTATGAGCGTAGGGTGCCATTACATAGAGCGCGAAAACGCGGAAACGCAAAATTTACTAGATTTCCGTCGATCCGTTCCGTCTGTTTTGAATGCCTTGTATTACATGGAGCACATTTTGAGCGGAAAAGCGGAACGGAGAATTATAAAATATTAATTTTTAACGGTATTTATTGATTAAAATGCTTGTATTTAATAGATAAGCTGAAAAGATAAGCATATTAATAAAAATTGCAATGAATTAAGTGAACACAATTTTAAGAAGTGAATATTTAAGAAATGTCTATTTGTCACTATACTGTTCCGCTTTTCCGCGCAAATTGTGCTCCATGTAATATAAGGAGAAACAAGCTCGCGGAACGAACGCGTCAAAATCCGTTGTCAACGCGGATACAGTATACTCCATCAAATTTCGGAGCTGTCTAATCACATTGAAAAGGAAAGCTTTTACATACTTCGATTACTTTATTATTTTATAAAAGTGGCAGTATAATATTATATAGATCCAAACATCATGTTGATGGTTATTATGAAGTATCTTATGCAAGCCAGGGTACATATGTACATACACGATAATAGCGGATTCCGCTTTTCCGTTCAAACGTGTGGGACTCAACTCGCGGAAACGCGGAATCCAGTTACTATTCTGTTCCGCGCTTCCGCGTTTCCGCGTTTCCGCGCTCCATGTAATGGCACCCTTACTCACGTACGTCGTTCGCTTTGGAGTTGTAAGCGCTTACGGATCGACTAATGACGTCATCGTGACGTCATAACTTCTGCTGACAAACGCTTATTTCTGCAAGGTAGGGCAGTGTGAGCGTGATCAAGCGTAAGCGCTTACGTTCATTTCGGAACGCATTGTTAGCGGATTGCATATCAACAAACATGTCGTCGAATCGAATTATAGACGAAAAAATTGTAACAAAATTCCAATTTCCAGCATTTAACGCAGTGGCTTTTTCTACATTAAATTTCTCACAAATTAAAAATTGAATAAACGAAATATAGGCTCTCCTGAATAAATTAAATAAAGGGAAGTGAGAGAGGCAATCAGAGCCACGCGCGGTCAATCAAAATAAGTCAATAATAAAATATATTAGTTAATACAAATTCAGACGTTTCAACACTTTTTTTGCGTCATCTTCAGCGTAAAAATGAAAATAATACATGAAAATTTCAAACGATAAATTACAGTCAATCACGATAAAATGAGTCAATCAGTAGAAAAGCGCAGTCAAATCAATAAAATAAAATTCATACGAATGTTCGGTAGTCTGTCAGGATATGCAAATGCTCCGAATCGATCGTACCTTCGACGTTTACTCCCAGGTTGGAAGACCAGACACCAGACCAGGTAGAAAGGAGAGATTTGATTGTCCTTTCTAAACCGTGAATCGGAGTCGCAATATGTTAAAAAACGCAATGTATCAGTATTAAAATTACAATCACGAATTCTTGCTTACGGACCATTACAAACCAGTAAGTCGCAGTGTTAAAATGTATCTGTCGCTCTGACATGTCGTGAGTGAGTGAATAAGCGTTGGTAAAAATTGGAAGGTTAACATAATAAAAGCGGTGTATACATTCGAGTTTAATTGTGGGAATAAAAATTCACAACGAATAACTCTAAATTTTTGATAACCCATCAATAACGTTCAAATAAGTATCCGGTAAACCTTCCGTGTCCGTCTGCAAATTCAATCCATTCCTATCTCTTTATGCACAGCATCTCGGAAATTAAGCGTTTATAAAAATACGATTCATTATCTAGAATTTCCACATTATCCCAATCGAAATTATGATTCAATGCTAATCTATGATCTGTTATAACAGAATGATTAGATGTAGGTATTCTAATTTATATATGGTTCTGGTGTTCCTTAATTCTTGTTTGTAATTGTCTGCTCGTTTGGCCTACATAAGATGCGTCGCAATCATTACAGTTAATTTTGTATATTACGTTACATTGTTTAGAACGTGGGAAACTATCCTTATGAGCTTTTATGAAGGTTCGCATTTTGTTTAAGCTATTATACGATAATCTCACTTTTAAATCCCTTGTTATGTTCTTAAATTGTTCTGTTTAAAAAATTTAGAGTTATTCGTTGTGAATTTTTATCCCCACCATTAACTTATGTATACACCGCTTTTATTAACACTGCGACTTACTGGTCTGTAACGCTCCGTTAAGTAAGAATTTGTGATTGTAATTTTAATACTGATAATAAGAGAACTGATACTTTAATACTGATACATTGAGTTTTTTAACATATTGCGACTCCGATTCATGGTTTAAAAAGAACAATCGAATCTCTCTTTTCTACCTGGTCTTCCAACCTGGGAGTAAACGTCGAAGATGCGATCGATTCGGAGCATTTGCATATCGGCATATCCTGACAGACTACCAAACATTCGTATGAATTATATTTTATTGATTTGACTGCGCTTTTCTACTGATTGACTCATTTTATCGTGATTGACTGTAATTTATCGTCTTAATTTATCGACTGAAATTTTCATGTATTATTTTCATTTTTACGCTGAAGATGACACAAAAAGTGTCGAAACGTCCGAATTTGTATTAATTAATATATCTATTTTATTATTGACTTATTTTAATTGCGCATTAATTACCGCGCGTAGTATTGCCTCTTTCACTTCTCTTTATTTGATTTAAAAATTGAAACAACAATGTGTAATAATAATATTAATAACATACCGATGTGAATCCGGGGTGACCATTTTTCATATAGCGATAAATAATTGTTTTTTAGGTGATATTGTTTTACGTCCTAATTTTGATCTTAGTAATTTTAGGTTTTAAGCCTGATCTACAATGTGCTCTTTGCTTCCTGTTTTTTGCTCTTAACCTGTTTGCGACTATCCCGTATTTCGCAACTGCATCGCGTAACGCGATGTTTTTTGTTCTCTGTCGCCTAAGATAAAAATTGACGAACTTCAGAAAAGACAATAAACATCACGTTACGCGACGGAATTGCGAAATACGAGATAGTCGCAAAGAGGTTAAGAGCAAAAAACAGAAAACAAAGAGCTCATTGTAGATCAGCCTTTAAAATTTGTAGAATAAAATTAATAGGTGCTCGGTTTATTCTAAAAAAAAGGATTTATTTTAAAAATTAAATATTCTTCCTCATCGAGAATAATAATTCTAATAATGTTATTATTTGTGCAAATATGACACACAATAACCTATCGTCTGCCATTTCGACGTGCTCATAGTCGCTTACATTGCCAAAACGAACATTTCTTACTATTGTGTAAGCGCTCAGATACCAAATCAAACGATTGAAAACAGCGCTCATAAGCGTGAGCGCTTACAGCGCGTGAGCGTCCAAACCGAACGCACC